GCAAAAATATAAAATTATTTGATTTGTGCTCTAACCTCAAAGATGAACGCATTGCCTAATATCACATACCTTGTCTTAACTTTTTATCTCTGGTTTCTTACACAATATTCTTGTAAAACTGGATTTGTTTCAATGTGTTAAGCATGACTGAAATTGTATATATATCTCAGTTTGCTGCTTTAAGCTACATTGTAACCAGAGATGGACATGTTCCCTGACATCACAAGTTTTCCCTTGATCTAGCAAAGATCAGTTTTGCGAACATTTTTGTTTCAAGATCAGCACTAGTGACTTGGAAATTTATCTCACTTTGGCTTTTCAAGCTTATGTTGTATTTCAAAGATGAATGAATTTCATTTTCTTAACCACAAACTTACTTTAACTCTTACTTAGTCTAATAGAATTTTAGAGAGAAATTCTCTAAAGAAGAAATACAAAGACAAACAGCGGATATAGAGTTGGATGATCATGTGGGATCATAGTTCCAATCAGAACGTAAATATAAAAGTAATGGACTTAAATAAAACCCTCATAGTTCCAATCAGAACGTAAATATAAAAGTAATGGACTTAAATAAAACCCTAATAGTTCCAATCAGAACGTAAGTAGAAAAGTAATTGAGTTAAATAGAAAGTTAAGTTAGGACCGAAACCTTGTAGCTTGTGCTTTTTGGTGAAAGTGATTCTCAGTCCAATTTTAAGATTCACCTTACTATGATACCCCCATTAATTGTCCTGCATCCGAAATTTACAAAAGTGTGGATGAGTTTATGATGTATGTCATGAGTCTATAATATGGATCACGGGAATCAAGTGCAACAATGGCTAGTCATTTCGTCAGTGGTTTGAGCCAAACAATGTGATGCACACAGTAGGAGTCAGGGATTACATCGCGCCTACATTGCTTGCAGGCCTAGGGAGTAACACTTCCTTTTATGGATTATACATGGTAAGAGTGAAGATGAGGCTTAACAGCTCATTGAAACGCCGTCCTCGGCAAATAAGTGGTTTATCGCCCTTAAAAAAACCTCAATAAGACAAGGTTGAAGAAGACCTTGCCTCGCAAGATTACTCCGTATGCTGTGGGATGTTGATCCTTTGTGTTGAGCGCAAGGTTGGCCTCTTGTGCTTGACGCGAGGTTGATCCATTGTGCTCAGCGCGAGGTATGATCCCTTGTGCTTGGCATGAGGTTAAACTCTAATCACTAGACCTCTGTAACGCGAGGCTAAGTTTTGTTCGCTCACATGAACTCGCTTTAGTTCCTCGTTATGCAAGGTAATAGTGTGTTAACCTCGTGTTTCATCATACTTAGCTAAAAATTATGGCTTTTGTTTATTCTTGCTGATCTGTTTCGTGTTTTCTTTTGCAATGACTCTTTCCACAGGCCCGATCCTTCCAGACAGTAATTTTGGATCTTCTGAGGGAATGGACGAGGCTCCTGGTACTCCTTCGAGAACACCGTACCAATTGTAAAGGATAGGGACGTAGTTACGCGATTCCCTGGAACCCCTCCCCCCCGAACTGTCGTATAGTTCGTGAACCAATTTCCGGTACATTTACGAACTGATTCCTCCGACACACGAACCGGTTCCCTAAAATTGGCGTACCACATACAAGTATGCCAGCTGAAAAATCTCAAGTGCATGTGTGCAAGACGCAATGCAATGTGTGCAATTAAGTGAAGGGAGACAAACAGGGGGTATTAGCCGATGACTTTACTATAACTAAATACGTATGTTAGTTAAATGTAAAACGAAACCATGATCCTAATCCTAAAATGAGCTCTGTGAAAAAAAAACATAACATAGAAACAAACTCCATCAAAAAGAAGTATTTAAGTATTTTGTATAAAAAATATTAAAATTCATAATTAGCTTTCTAGATTTCTACTATATACTTTGAAAAACTTTAAGCGCATCCTAAAAGAATTTACAAAGTACCATTAACTGAATTTGCGTATTTAAGCAAGCTATCCTCTAACAAATCCAAACTTTCTATGCGGCCAATTGCGTACACGAATTCATACCGTGACCCGCTACATACCGCTACTGTGTAACTATGGATAGGGATTTTAACGGACATAATTAATCACTCTAGGTAGTAGTCAGATACTACGAATGATTATGCATTTACGACCCTAGCAAAGTTTGTGATAGTGAACCCGCAACCTAAGCCTGATTACCTTTTTGGGATTACGTGGATAATCAGCGCTAGCACCCACTCCTGGTTCCACACAATGACCCGAGGATAATATTTCTTAACGGAGATTGAACGCCATTATCTTGAGTTATTTTACCTCAGCTACCTATCCTCGTACAATGGAATGGAAACTGGGCTTCTAAACTGACTATGTCTTCGTGGGATAGTTCACCCACAAGAGTTTCTTCTAGGCCAAGGATATCACTTGTATCATCAGACTTCGTCCAAGAAAAGGGAAAAAAGCAACTCCGGCAGGAGAGGGCTCCAAGAGAATAGACATGTTCCTTAACAGTTTTATGGAAGTTGATGGTGTTGTGCGCAGCGAAAAATTCGGCAGCACCTCCGGTGCGCAGGGTGCACAACAAGAGATTAGATCACAACGGAATTCTCGCTTCTCAAAGGAAACAAGAACCAAAAGCCAGATATCTCATCAAAGTGAGATATCAGCTCTTCCTCTCGTCAGCTCTAGGACTGCGCGTCGAGGGTCCTCTCGTCAGCTCTAGGACTGCGCGTCGAGGGATCCTACAAGCTATTACAAATCACGGCAAGAACACAAATTTTACGTGGTTCGGCAAATTGCCTACGTCCACGGGGCAAGGAGGGGGGAGATCTACTATTAGAGGGAGAGATACAATTGGGATTTACAATCTCACAAATTTAAACCCTCTCAAACAAACTCTCAGATCCCTCACACAAAATCTCTCTCAAAGGGGGATGCACAAAACTCTCAAAGTCGACACTGCGTTTTCTCCCTGCCTGCGCACTGCCAAAGCACGCCTTCTGTAAACTTTGCTTTGCTTGCGCCTGCACACAGCACACAACCGACTTTTATTTTGTTTTGCTCACAAATCCACCGCCTCACGCTCACACGCCCTCGTTTACACGAAGCCGCCGCCAAAACCAACTTTCCCACCTCCTGCACTCTTTTTCGCCCAACGAAGAGAGCCGCTGCTCTTTCTTTTCTCCTGCAGCCGAAACAAAAGAACCCCCTCAACTTCGCACACGCCTCCAAGCTACCAAACCCTAGAATGATTAATAGGGTATATATAGTTGTTTGAGAATCGGGTGGGCCTGTTTATTCACGCGGAAAACAAAAGCAGCATTGCTGCTCCTCACGTGACTTTCCCAAAAGTCGTGGACCGCACTCCACGTTCACAGATGGGAACTATCCGGCTTCGGATATCGAACCCCCAATTTATTCCAGACCCAAACAGTGGTAGAGTAAGCAGAGTCGGTAAGCGACCACGTAGGCTTTTGCCTTTTGGCTACTCTGCTTAAGCAGAGCTAGGTGTGCAGGATTAAGTACGTGCATTCTCAAGGGGGGAATCCCCATCATAATTTGCCGCAATTAATGCAACAAATTTGATGCTCAAACTTGTACTAGGCCAGACATCAGTTTTGCTATTGGAATGTCGGGCAGATATCAAAGTAATCCAGGAATGGATCATTGGAGAGCTGCAAAGAAAGTGTTGAGATACTTACAAGGAACCAAAGACCATATGCTCGCTTATAGAAGATCTGACCATCTTGAGGTGATAGGATATTCAGATTCAGATTTTAATGGATGTGTTGATACTAGAAAATCCATATTTGGCTACTTATTCCTTTTAGCTGAAGGAGCAGTGATGCGGACATCCAGGCACATACACGGGATTTCGACATGTCTATTAGCACAGGAGACGTCGTGTTTCAGCTTTGCATCGGGTCCCTACTATGTGGTTTTAGTTGAGATGGAGTCGAGTCTGTATTTTCAGTTGTTTTCTTTTAATAAGAGTTGTAGTTAGTTTTCCTTAATAAGAGCATTATTTTAGTCTCACATCGGATGTGGAGAGAGATGAGACATTCTGTAAGCCTATTTAAAGGCGGGTTGGTTTGTAAACAAGGTAATTAATTATTGAAGAAATAAAATATTTAAGTTTTCTCCAAAGAAATGAAAATTCTCCCTCTGCGTATTTGGTGTGTGAAACCCAAATATTAGATCTAGGTGTGTGAAACCCTAGTTCTCTACCCTCTTTCAAAAAAAATCCAAATCCCCATTTCATTCAGCCAACCCCTTTTCACTCAACAAGTCTTTACATTCTTATCAACTCATCCCCTCACACATTTGTTCTCAAATACATCACAATCTTCCATTAATATAAAAAGAAAAAAAGAAAAAAAAAACCCTACTTTCCCTTGCAGCCGTCATTCCGACCAGACCCAATCTCCTATTACCGTGAGCTCGGCACAAATGCAGATATAGGTCCCTCTTGTACCTCCCTCTAACATCAGACCGAAGTACATTCACCTTTCTGCCAATACACTTCCTCAATTTATTGCGGGCTTCTAGGACTTCACACCAACGGGACTTGGTTGCAACCCACCAATGCCTAGAGCAATCCCCCGTCCCTCCTCCCTCGCCGACAATGCCCTTGCTCCTCCCCGCGACAACGCCCTCCGATCGCTCCGACGACGCCCTCGTCTCTCCCGCGATGACGCCCTGCTCCTCCTTCAACACCGTCGCGACGACACCTCCTCCTCAGCGACGACCGCCAACCACCAGCCCTTCCTTCTAGCCGAGATCACCAGATCCGCTCGTCCTCCAACAGATCCTAGCCGAGTGCACCAGATCCGATCATCCTCCAT